TGAGCTGCGCAGGTGAGGTTACCGGAGAAGTCTGGAATCGGGGTGCAGGAGGGAGCCCGGAATTTCTCCCAGGGTGGTAGTGAAGACGAGTCACAAGTGAGAAGGGGTCAGCAGGTCTCGTTTGTGACCTTCAAACTCCTGGAATCCCTTAAGCCACACCTGTAGTTCTCGGAACACTGCCAACTGGATCGAGCCAGATTATCACGGGGCGTCCCGGTCGCTGTTTCCGAAAGAAGAGGCTGGGCGGCCTGATTTACACCTTCCCAGCATCCAGCCCAGCCACCGCGGCTGTGGAGAGACAGAGACAAGGAGCTGTCCACTGTAGAGGGAAGAGACAGCTGTCCTGCTGTCAGAGGACCGAGGTCTGAGTTTACTGGTTTCCCCATGAGAGAGAGTTAGGCCCATAAGCAGGACACCAAACTACAGCACAAACCCAGCTGTCACCCCCCATTCCTGGGGAACAGCCCAACAAGACCTTCATTCAGGCGCCTGGTACTCTCTTAGAAAAAGGAAAACTGGAGCCAGACAAACAGGAGAACATTTTCGCCCCATTATTGTTGGGTGCAAATGGAAATTAAAATGGAAAATCAAATTAAATGGATTTCATACACATGTATCAACACCTGCTGACAGACCTCCTTTTAATGTGCATTTCAGCAGTTACATGGCAGCTACAAACTCTGTAGACCCATGGCATCTTCATGAGCACATACTGATTGAAAACAGCTTTATAACGAGTATTTACATGAGGACCCCCTACAGAAAGACAAACCCAGACCATCACTCCCTGCAGCGTTGCTCGGACCATCGGGAAAGCACAAGGAATCCTCTTCAAAGTCTAAACCGAGATGTCTGCAACACTTTTAAGTTTTACAATTGCTTTCCAAAAGGTACGTTTAAACTACTTAAAGCCGGTCTTGAGATAAAAAACTGAAATACACAGGGACCCTGTTATTCACATCTAAGCATTTCGGAAGTGTGCCAAGTCAGCCCCTTGCAGCCTGATTCAGCCAGGCCAGGAGGGTTTCTGACCTGTTCGAAAGGGCCTACAGTGCAGACCTGCTTTCCCACTCCTGTATTTATACAGACCTGCAGATTACATAACCTCTGGGAGGTGAAGGC